AAGCAAAGCGTAGGCTCACTAAAAATAACTCTTCATACGTTGCTCGAGCTTGAGCTCAGACACTGTCCAACATGTAACGCGCAGCTGCTTGGTGAGCACACACAGACGAGACAGTTGAAGCGATTTCCAGGCTCCTCCCGACAGATAAATGCACCTTGCCTGGAGGCAAGATTAGTCATGGCCTCCTCATCTCTTAAGGCTGGTTAACCATTTAGGGCTAAAACCCCACTGGGCTCTTTGATAAACTAGGCTAACTTGTAAAGATGTTTAAGTGGCATCACAAATCTATGTTTATTGGCATTATGGAGCTCCAGTGGTGAAACACATTTTATGTAGATAAGCAAGCTAGTTAGCTAGAACTTTCTTTCTCTGTAGCAAACTATCTAACTAACCAATAACTAACTAGCTAATTTAAGATGGGACTTTATTTTAAGGATGTATTAAGGGATAAAATAATTAGATAACTAGCTAATAACTAGCTGATTTAAATTAGCTAGCTAGTTAGCTAGAATGTTGCTCTGTTGCAAAGCACTGGCAAACTAGCTAACTAACTTGCTAATTTAAGTTGGGACTTATATATCGTGGATGTATTAAGGGAGAAAAAAGATAATTAGCTAATAACTAGCTGATGTAAAATAGCTAGTGATATTGAAGAAAGAAAGAAAGAAAGAAAGAAAGGAGAAAATCAGCATTTTACAGACGTTTCTTTCACGGGGAAAAGTCTTTATAGGGCTGTGCGTCATACACAAATCTGTTTTCAGTTAATGTTTTTCAGAATTGTTGTTGTTGTTGTGAAATAATAGCTTATTTGATCAGTTACTGAAATAAAAAAGAGAGAAGTTTACAGAGGAAATGCCTTGGTGGAACAGCTAACAACTCAATCTGAAATGTGAAGGAAACACAACTACACAGTGAGAGGACACAAGACAAAAAAGGTGGAGACCCACTGGTATAATCTTTAAAAATACGTTTTGTGTGAATTTTAAAAACTTATCATACATTTACTGTATGTAAAATCTTAATCTACAGAATAATAAAAAAAAAGTACAGTGTAGCGCTGCAGACAGTGGTGGCATATGAATGTGTCCATAAAATAACACACTCTGTGTACTTTTGTTGATTGTGGAACAAAAAGGACATTCCAGTTGGCCTTAACCATGGACCAATTAGCATGATAGGCAGGGTGAGAGTCAACTAGCTGTCCCACACATCACATCACCAACCCAATCAGACCAAACCAATATATCAACCAACCAATATCACATATTGAAAGGAAACACAAAGTAAATTACAATGTTATCTGACCCTAAAAAGAGAATTCACACTGGCAAATTACCTGAGCACAATAAAATATCCTAAAGTAAGAAAAGGTTTGACTGTGAACAGAATCAATGAGCACAGCCTTGCTGTAGAAAACCATTAATACCATTAAGAGAGCTGGCTGACAGAGGAGACACTCTGCTCCCTGTGTGACAGAGGACAGGTAGAGACACAGTTACACTTCCTCACTTCATGCTCCAAATACCAGGCTATGAGAAATGAATATTTTCCTAATATTAGAAAAATACACCCGGAATTCCTAAACATAACAGACAGAAAAACTGCCATATTTACTTGGGGAAATGCCCAAAAGTGAAATTATTACACACACATTAATCCTAATGTTTTATTTTTAATTTAGATTTTCACTCTATAATTTCCTAATGCTTTGGCAATATTGTCTTTGTTCCAAATTCTTGCACACGTACTTTTTTGGACTGAGATCTGATTCCTCAAGGGCCAAGGTCATGGACCAAACCAAACCATTGACATTGACATCATCCCGAATACGGCCGCTGCCATCTTGTGCTGGTGAGGTCATTTGGGGCCAGAGTCTGCGCAGTAGTGATTGGGGTTGGAACTGCAATATGGAGATCTTGCCTATAGACCTGGCCGACTCAATTATGAGCAGGGCTCAGCTGTCAGATGGTGACATGAAACCCTTTTTTATAGCATCAAAGTACTCATTAAAACCAAATGTCAGCATTATAAGAACAACCTAAAATTACATATACTTAATTTTTTTAGTTTGGCCCGTCTGTTAACATAGAGGCAGCAGGCTGTATGACCTATACTGCAGTCGGCCACTAGGGGGCAATAGAGAGGTTTTGGCTTCACTTTTGGGGAGCTGTCATGTCGTCCATCTTTATACACAGTCAAGGGTCCACTCTAATGCAGGGCTTTGTATTCTATGTTTTTTGTGGTTTATCTTCACCATTATATTACCATTTAAGCATTAAAGAGGTAGTGCCTGGTATGTTTAATTTAGTTATGGTCCATTCACATTTTAGTGACAGGTGCTAAAAGATTATGAGAGTTAGCTGGCAAACAAAATGGGGGATTCTGCCTTAGCAGTTACCTATACAGACTGGTCTGTATAAAGGCATGTTGTGTTGTTGTTTACTGATGTATCTGATCGTTTTATGGTTGTATGGATGGCAGTGTTGGTCTGTCTGTTGGTCCACCACATCCAGACTAAAATATCCAACATGTTTTCACTCTCAATTCTTCAGACTGCTTCTTGGTCAGTGGCCTTCTGTTTTAACATATGTCCCTGTTGCAACCTTGTCTACTAGAAATGACATTTGTATATTACTACATTGTTGTCATACCTGCCAGGATTATGTTCAGAGATAATGTTTTTTTGAAACACTGTGGCTGGGGTGGATGTACAAAGTGCAGCACTATAACATCTGGTTATGAGCTATTTTTATCTACAGAAGGAGTGGGTGACCGCCATGTCTCTACAGTAGCCCACAACAGACTTTTTCATAAGTCACCATAGTTTCTCTTACACACTCCTACTGAGTCCACCATGTTGAACTGCCATGTTTTATACAGTATCCCTGAATGGACAAACCAAACACTGGCTCTAGATAGGGCCTTGTTGCCTTATGTGGACTTTCTCGCTCTTTATACTACGACTTGGGAATGAGACCAGGTTGAAATATCCAACACGTTCAATTGTTGGACGGATTACCATTAAAATTGATTCAGACATTCATGTTTCCCTCAGGTTGAATTGTAATAACTTTGGTGCAAAGCTGATTGTGATTATAGGGCAAATTTTACATTTCACAAATATGAATGTAACACTTTCCTTTTTTGCCACTAGACCTTCTGGCCGGTATCACTCATGCAGAATAAATTTGTAAGGTAATTCATAGGGGATAGACAAACAGTGAAGCGGTGAATCAGAATATGCAAATTGCAGCTGTTGTCCTATGTAATCATTCTAATGGGTGATTATAGAACAATGACTTTGATGCCTAGATGTCCATGCAGTTTGGGTGCCTTGCTCTAGGGCACTTCATTAGTGTTTGCGTATAGATCTATTTGAATGTTTGGCTTAAAAGCAGTTTATGTTATTTTCACAACTTTTCTCATTAAAGTGGGGGAAACAGTAAGTGAGGCCTCAAGCATCCTCTATGCCATGTGTCATTGCCATGCACACACACACACACACACACACACACACACAGACACACTCCATCAGGGTGTACAAACCCAGCCCATCAGCTGATTGTGGTCTAATTCAAGTTGGCACATAGGAGTCGGGATGAGAGCAACGAGTAATCAAGGAGACAGACGAGAGAGAGAGAGGACGAGGTAAGTGCAAGGAGAGAGAGAGCTAGAACGAGAAGGCAAACTATAAAACATGAAAGTAGAGGAATGAAAATATTCAACTCGACAGTATCCGAGTCGGCTCTGAGAGTCGGAAGAGAGAGATTGAAAGAAAATTAGTAGGTCTTCATTTGCCAAAAACTAAAAACCAGTTTGTGTGGGTTGAGACACAGGTTCACAGTCTGAGCACATACTGATGTACTGCTTCAAATAGGACTTCACAAACCATGTTATACTGTCAGTAATTGTTACTGACATGGACTGACAGTATCATAAGAAGCATTGTCAAACTGGTGTTAACCATATAATTCAATTCAATTCAAT